TCACTTGTAGTAACACGTTCCTGCAAAAAGTTTGACTTCCCTCTGGCATTCCATGCACGATGGTGTTTCTCATTTGGTGAAACTGACACAGGAACAAGCCATGGAGTGCGATCTCAGTTGCATTTCCGCCCTAAGTGATAGGAATAGGAAAGGGACCTTTTAAAAGTTGTGCTTCATGAAGTCACTAACCCTCTCCTTCGAGTCTTGGGACTTTTCATTTGTAATCAAATGTGGGCATGGATAGAGCATAAACTATATAGGTCAAGTTACCTTTGACTTATGTGAATCCATCTATCCCATACACTTAAAAAGACAGTGTGAAAAAATAAAGACTGGGTGACTCATGACCCATCCATGAATCACCCAGTCTTTTCATCTAACATTTAATTCTTTCAACTATATCCAGGCTACCCATCTTTTGAAACTTCCATTTGTTCATTAAATCCATCCATCCAATTAACCATCCGTCAGTTCACCTGCACATTTATTTATCCACAATGGTTTAATCATTCACACACCTAGTCAATTAATCAGTTCACCATCCATATCCTTCCAACTATATCTAAACTTTCCACTCATTCAACTGCATTCTATCCATCCATCAATCCATTTAACTATTTAACCCTCTTATCACTCATATCTCTACTAATCACACTTCTAATGAATTTATCCACGGAGCTCCCATCCTCCATCCATCCTTCTATCCAGTTAACCTGCCACCTATCTATTTTTCTAATCAATCCATCCAACTTATTGGAAGAACTAGTCCAGCAATGTACCACATACACAACTGCCATGGTTTTTTCTCCTTTTTGGCTTGGAGTTTGCAGCCTTCGCCTCACTGCCCCCCATCGTTCAGCTGGGCAGCCCCTCTCACCCCTCCCCACCTGCGTGGATAGTACCTGAGTTTCGCCTCTTTGTTTTGTACACCTGCTGCCTCCTATTGACCACCTTCCTCTTCCTCACTTTTCCTTCCAAGTTCTTTCTGTTCTTGGTGTTGCTGCCGGAGTGGGTGGTGGGCCTCACGGGGCAGTGGTGGGAGTGCGTGGTGCGTTTGTGATGCCTTGGTGGTGGGCTGGGGCTTGGAGTCTGGATTTGGTGGCCGGGTGGACTGCGGTGGCCGGTCGGGCTTTGGCTGGAGATCCGGCTTCGGCTGCAACTCTGGCTCCGGGTGCAGCCATGGCTGCAGTTCTGGCAGTGGTGGCTGCAATTGCAGGTGTGGCTTTGGGGCCGAGAGTTGCTATGGGGCTGGGTGTGGGTGGTGGGAGGGTTCTGTGTCTTGGTGTCCATGGGAGGCCACTTGTGGGGGCAGAGGCCGCCTCCTCCTCCTCCTCTTCTTCCAGCACACCCAGCTTTGCAGGGGCCCTGGCACCCCCCCAGTTATATAGTTGGGCCCAATTGTGATGGCACAGGCATGGAGGTGTAACAGATGTGGTCTGGTTGGGACAAAGGCCCCTAACTCTTACACTAACCCCTAGGGCAGAGCAATTTTCAGGGGCCCTCTGGGGTAATCCCATCTGTTGGTTAAGAGTAGGGACCTTTGAGTCACATTGAGTTGGACCCACATCCAGATTTACTTTTTTTTTTCTTATGGGTCACTCACCTGGGTTTTCATCCCTCCAAATCCCAGTTCCCCTGTCTTTGTAGCGTGGGGACAATAAGAATGCCTACCTCTGGGATGCCAGACAAATTGAGAGAATCCGTGCACAGCAATTGGCTCAGCTACAGCCCACAGTAAGAGCTCAATAAACATTGCAGAACATTCCAGCTCTTTTCTTATTCTTAGAGGCCTGGGCACAGTCTGACCTCAGTGATACTTGGCTGGGGGCGGGTGGTTGATAAGATAGAGCAAGGATAGATGGATGGGTAGATGGATGGTGAATGGATTGGATGGCTTATTGAATGGATGAATGATAAGAGTAATGGGATGAACTGATCTGTGGTCAAGGGGGCTGCCTGGCAAGCCCACTTCCCAGTCAAGATTTAAATTTGGGAGATTTAGAGCTAGGTTCAATCCCAGTGTATGCTGATTGCTATCTAGGGTAGGTCACTTTGGTTTTTGAGACTTCCTTATCTGACAAAGGGATGTCATTCCTTCCTTCCGGGTATTCTTGTGAACCTGAAATGCCTGTCCAGCCAAGGGAGGCGCTTGAAAGCCCTCTTCCTCCTTCAGATTCCTGCCTCCCGCCTCCCTCCCTACTAACGAAGCCTCACCTACAGTAGGAATCAGGCCCATCCCACTCAGATCTCCCGGCGCCTAGGAAAAAAGCCCAATCTGTGGAGACCATACCAGCACATAGCAGCCCAATCCTTGCCGAGCCTTGGCCAACACCCTTGGGCTTAGCTCCTGGCCATTCTCAGCCTGCACTTTCCCCCTCTTCCCCATGAAACTCCTTCTGTGTCCATCTCCCCTCCCTGGCAGGCCCCCCAGCCCACATCTATCTCCTCCTCTAACCTCATCAACACTTTCCTCTTGCTATGAAACTTTACTATCATCTGCTTTTATTACAGTTTATTTCTTAACAAGATTGTCACATCATTCAAGCGACAACCACCCTCATTAATGGGCACGCCTCTCCCTTCTAGGCAGCTTTGTCCTTGAGTCTCACAGGAGCCTTTGTAGTGGGTTGAAATGGTGGCCCCCAAAGGTATGTCCAGGTCCTGACCCCAGAACCTGTCAATATGACTGTATTTTGAAAAAGCATTTTTGTAGATGTAAGTTAAGGAGAGTGTATCTTGGTTATCAAGTGGGCCCTAATCCAATCACAAATGTTCTTTTTTTTTCATTTATCTCCTCACCTGAGGATATTCCTTCCCCCCCCCCCCCCCCCCCCCCCCGCGCGCAAAAAAAAAAAGTGGAATTTTAGAGAGAGTGGAAGGGAAGGGGAGGGGGTGGAGAGAGAAACATTGATTGGTTGCCTCCTGCACATGTCCTGACCCAGAGTGGATGGAGCCCAAGACCCTTCAGTCTGCAGCCAATGCTGTAACAATTGAGTCAAACTGCCAGAGCACAAGTGTTCTTATAAAACAGAAGAGAAGACACACATCCTCTTTATGAGAATAGACCACATGAAGTCAGAGGCAAAGATTAGAGTTATGCAGTCACAAGCCAAGGACCTTGAGCTGCCATGAGCTGCACAGGGCAAGGAAGGATCTCCCCTGGGACCTCTGGGGGAGGGGGCTATGGCCCAGTTGACTTCTTGATTTCAGACTTTGGCTTCGAGAGAGGATAGATTTCTGTTTGTTTAAGCCACGAAGTTTGTGAGCATTTGTCCCAGCAATCCTAAATGAACCCTATGAGGCCAGCATGACTGTTTCATTTTATAAAGAGGGAGCAGGCTCAGAGTCACAGATAGTCAGTGGCAGAGCCAGGATCTAAACCCAGGTCTCCCCCCCACCCCACCCCCCCACCCCCGTCCACCCTTATGGTCCATAGAGGTCAGAGGGGATTATAGAGGACACATGGGCTCTGTTCTAACGGCCTTGCCTTGTGTGGGCTCAGTGGGCTGGTTGGCCATGCTGCGAAGATTCTTTCTGGGTCCTTCCCCCCTCCCACACACTGCCCTGCTGATTCCCTATTTCCATATGCCGGAGTGTGTAGAAGGATGGAGACTTGTGTTTTGTTCATCTTAGAGCCCATAGTGACTACAGAGGGGGCTTGACAAATATTTGACTGAATGGGCAGGTGGATCTCTGGGACTTCGATAAAAGCAGCTGGTTGACTGAGGTACTGGGTCAGGGGTATGGGTAGGAATCCGTTAAGACTTGCAGACAGTGGGGCCTCCTGCTTTGGACATCACTTGCCCTCTGCCATCTGCAAGTTTTAGTGGTGGCCCCCCTCTGAGTAACCCAAGGCCTCTTTAACCCGAACACTCCCCCCTCCCCCCCCCCCCAAGTAGCTGAGGGTTCCCAGGAAAAACTGCCACTCCCTCCCCCAACAGCCGTCAGGATTCTACTCAGCCAAGTGGCTGGTGTTCGGGGGCCTACTGAGGGCAGAGGGTGGAGATCATGTGTCACTTCTTCAGGAACAGGATGGACAACAGAGTGGCCAGAGTAAGTAAGTGGACAGAGGGCCTGGGTTTTGTATCTTGTCTGGCGGCTTCTCTGGGCTCCCTTTGCCTGTTGCTTTCATGAGGACATGGGTTCTGCTCCCACAGCCAGACCCTTGATAAAGGCAGACATGAGCCTCTGTGAGCACGGGTGTCACCTTGAATATGAGGGTGGCAGCAGAAGAATCACAGGCTGAGGACTAAGACCCACCACATCCTCTGACCCCAAAACCAGGACCAATGAGCTACCTCATTCCGCAACAATACCATCTTCATTCAAGTGTGCCTGGCCTGGGCCCACTCGGCGCTTCCACTGACCTAGAGGGCACTACTAATCTCACCCTGACCCAGGGAGGGGGAGGCCAAGGCTCAAAGACAGACAGTGACTTGCTCAAGGCCACAACTAACAGAAAGAGGTTTGATTCCTGGTGTGCGGAACTCCCAAGCCAGTACTCCTTAGCAAAACTGGTGGCTAGAGCAGCAGGATGGGAGCTTTGCTGAGGGAGAGTACAGTGTCCCCTCAGGCACCCTCAGCCTGCATACTCACCTGCTCCCCCCCTGTCCCATTATGTGTACACTCCCAGAGAAGGGACTGGCTGAGATGACTTTCCTGCCACCACATTTTGCCCCCTAAAACAGGGCGGGGTGTGTGTGTGGAGGAGAAGTCACAGGGAGTGGGCCTTGTGAGAACTTCTGGTTGGATGTCAGGAGCAGGATAGATTTCTGCTCTTCAATCTCCCTGAACACACACACACACACACACACACACACACACACACACGGGCATGCACACACGCACATATGTACAGGGGCACACACATGGTACCATAGGCACAGGATTGAGGAGACCAGAAAGAAGTAGAGTTTCTTTGGAGATTTTATTGGCTCTTTTCTGAAAGTTCTTCTTGCTGGAATAGCAGCAGGCTCCTCTTCCTGGGTTGTCATCGGGGGTCAGGAGTGCGTCTGCTTGGGCTCGGGGCTCTGCTGGGCCACAGGGTCATCTTCGTCGCCCTCCTTCTGCCTCTCAGGCTCCATCAGCAGCAGCTTGCCCTGTACTGGGAGTTCCTCTTCCTCCTCCTCCTCTTCCTCCTCCTCCTCTTCTTCTCCCTCCTCTTCTTCCTCACCCTCTGAGGACAAGGAGAAGTTATCTTGACTCACGCAGGCCACGAGCTTCTTCATGGAGGATTCGTGGCCCCGGCTGTGGCCTGTGCCTAGCTTGGCACAGTGGGAACCCATGTCTGCTTTGGCTGCCTCTCCAGACTGGGCGGGAAGGCCTCTGGGGGAAAGTGGAGGGGCTCTGAGGGCTGTAGGCAGGGTGCTGACATCACAAAGGTGCCTCTGGAGCTCCCCACCCTCGGATACCTGAGTCTTGACACCTGCCTCAAACCTCAGCCATGAGCAGCCCCACTGAGCGCTCGCCACCTACAGAGCAGGGCAGAGGCACAACACCAGGCCAGTGCCGGTGCCGCCTCCCCTGCCAGGTTGCCTCCTCCATCTGGCCTCATTTGCTCTAATAAAAGTTCCCCTTTGAGCTGGGATGGCAGTTAGGGATAGAATTTCCAGAAGCAGTAGAGCACACATCCCCCTCCCCCTCTCCCGCCACAGCCCAGAAACACCCAGCCTAGGAGAGCTGTCGACAGAATATGACAGTAGGTCAGACAGTGGCTCCCTTTGGGGGCTGGAGACACAGAGGAGCCTTGTGGTGGGAAGGGCTGGAAATGTACACTTTCTTGACCTGGGTGGTGCCTACGCAGGTGTACTTAAAATCTGTGTCCTCAGTGTCAGCTACACTTCCGTCAATCTAAAGAAAACCCTTACTTCCTGTCCCCCGAAAATCACCCCTTGAAGGCAGCGCTCCTAAGCTTTTGGAGTCACAGGTCTCTTTAGCTACACATACCCACAGAACACAATTTCAGCAAAGGAGGGCTGAGTTAAGTTCCCTTGGTATCCAATTTCCAACATGTAAATCAAAGTTTGCCATTTTTCTGCCCCAAACCCTTGGTGGCTATGGTAAACTGAATAATGACTCTTTGGGTATCTTTTAAAAAACAAAAACAAAACTAATTTCAGAAAAGAAGGGAGAGGAGGAGAGAGGGAAAAATCAATGTTGAGAATCATTGATCAGCTGCCTCCTGCACACCCTCTACGGGGGATTGAGTCCGAAACCTGGGCATCTAACTGTGGCCTCCTGGTTCATGGATTGGTGCTCAATCACTGAGCCGCACTGTCCCCCTTCTCCCTCCGCCGGGGATCCTGAATGGGAAGATTATCCTGGGTTAGCTGGGTGAGCCCTAAATGCAGTCACATGGGTCCCCATGAGGAGGCAGACATTTCACAGAGGAGGCCTTGTGACCACAGAACCAGAGACTGGAGTGATGTGGTCACAGCCAAGGAACTCCAGGATGACAAAACCACCAGAAACTAGGAAGGGGTGAGAACGGGTTCTGCCCGGAGCCCCCAGAGTGTAGCCCTGTTGACTGGTACACAGAGCCCCATCTCAATCTAGTGGCCCATAGGCCTCACATTAATTTACCCCTCCTTTTGTTTCCTCTATGCCAGGCCTTCCCATCCCAGCATACTTTCCCAAGCTACCCAACACATCCTAAGGTTCAAGACCCCTGCAGATGGGGATGACAAGGAACTGGGAAGGTCAGGGTGGAATAGTGTGTCTTTTAGCATCATAAAAGGCAAACCTGGCTCTGGGTGACAGGGGATGTCACAGGTAATTCAACGTGCCTATCTCCCAGGAGCACTCTACTGAACTCCCCGCCCCTTACCTCCCCAAAGAAGGGAAGCCATGTTCGTATGATTTGCATAAAGGAGACCCTGACAAGCCAGCAAGTTTCTTATCTCAAGCTTTATTTGGCAGATGACTTTTGCTCATTTTACTCAAGAACTTATGGGCTCAGGGTTTGGGCATCCAGCATGGAGGGATTGCTGTGGTCATGTGAGGTGGTTCCTTGTCAGGTGACTTTTCCTTGATTTCCAACCAGGTGTGTGATGGATGGGCCCAGGAAGGTCTAACGACACCTTCTGTATCTTCTCCTCCTGCATCTTCTGCGACCTTTTGGAAAAGAAAGTTCTGATCATAGGGCAATCCAGACAACCTGGGCGGGGCTGGGGATTGGGGACTGTCAAATGGGGTAGGATCCCAGGGTATCACGAGCCTCCCACTGCCCTTCTGGGCACGGTCTGGAGGTGTCAGGTGCCCAGAGCGTGAGTAAATAGGACTAGACCAACATCTACGGTGCCTCCTGTGCCTACAGCAACGTCTCCGGCGTCTCCGGCATGAGCGGCGCCGCCTTCTGTGGATCCTGTACAGCCGCCTTCGGGAGCAGCGCCTGCGTCTGTAGTGACAGCGGCCTCTGAGCGTCCTCCCGTCCTGGCTGTCCTCTGCATTCGGATCCTGCTCTTGTTCCTGGCTTTGTTGATGTGCGCGTTCACTCAGGCTCCTGGCGCTGTGTCGGACCATTGTGATTGCAGGCTGAGGCCGTCGCTGGCTTTGGGGGCAGGGAGGAGGGCTGAGGCCTGCCCACCTACTCTTGCTGTTAATGTTGGTCTGGTCTGCCGGCAGCTTTTCGAGCACTTGTATATAAAGGGGCCCCCCACTATGACTTGGCAGCCCCACCCCACCATTGTCCTCACCCTGGCCAGCTCCTCTGTGAAAAAACAGAGCCAGGGTCCACGGCCAGCAGGGCCTGGAAGGGCAAGCTACCCCTTCCCGATCCCTGTAGCAGGTGGGACTTTGCCAACCTTTTCTTGTCTACATCTAAACCCTTCTTTCATCCAGCTGGTGGCAACCCCCACCTAGCCATTCCTGAAGTTCCCTCACCACCTGAGAAGCTGCACCATGCGTGGGCCTTCATTATTGCTTTTCTATCCAACAGTTATCTAGTGGTTACTGTAAGCCAAGCATTTCATTCACTTACTTTCATACATTCACTCATTTATTCCTCACTGTTATAATCCCCATTTCTAACAGGGAAACTGAGGCACAGAGCAATTAAATGACTTGTTCAAGGTCACTGCAAATAAGGGGCAAGGGTGGGCTTCAGAGTCTGTGCTCTTGGCCCCTCCTTTCCACCCCTCTCACTGTACTGAAATGATCCCATTAAAGCAGAATCAAAATCTTAGCAACTGGTTTCCCTTTCTGAGCTTTCTGGGCGAGTTAAGGATCTGGAGATAGGAACTCATCTTGGGTTATCCCAGGTGAGTTCAAATGTAGGAACATGGGTCATTGAAAGTTGGAAGGAGGAGACAGCAGGAGAGTCACAGGAAGAGCTTTAAAGATTCTAGCCACTGGCTTTGAAGATGGAGGTGGGGCCTCTTGGAGTTGATGAGAACACAGCCCTGTCCACACCTTGACTCTAGCCCTGTGAGACCCGTTGTGAAATTCTGTAAGATAATAAATTTGAGTTGTTGTAAGCTATGAAGTATGTGGAATTTGTTACAGTAGCCACAGGAAACTAATACAGAAGCTTATTATCACCCGGTGTTCATATGCATTAAGGTGACCAGGGAGGTCTGTGTCCAGTTATCAGCGATATTGTCTGACTGGGTATAGGAAGCCATCCAGCGACCCCCATTTAACACCCTCACTTGGAAAGACAGGGTTGTCCGTGCCTATGTGGCCTAAAAGTGAATGCCAAACACCTGTACACCATGATGCCGAAACATGCAGGTCATTGTCATGTTTCGGAGGTTCTAGATGGCCCTGTCACTTTAGGGATAGAGCCTGAGCCGTGGGCTTTGCTCCTCTGCCATGAGATTGTGAAATGAGCCAAATAGGCCGATGTCCAAAGTGTTTGGTGAACCATCTCCACATCATCCTGTGTTTTCAAGCCCTCAGTGTATCATGTGGGTCGAGTGGGTTTGTAGACAAGATGGTCATGTTAAATGTGAAAGCTTAGTTCAACCACCACCTGGGTATCCCTGTACCCAGACCTAGGGCAGCTTTGGGCCGAAAACTGTGGGCACGTTGGGGATGGGTGGGATACAGTGATGAGCTGGAGCTGGTAAATGTTTACCTGGCTCGCTGTGACAGGGGCAGGAGAGAGCAAGTCCTGATTTGTAGCCTTTGCACGAATTCCTGTGGTCCGTTTCAAGCTCTATGAGCAGGTGTCATAGAGCTCAGTGTTGGCGGGAGATGGGCTCAGAAACAGCATGGCTCGGCTCCTGTCCCCACTACGGGATCTCTAAGGGGGGGTTGGGAGGCAGCTTTTGATTGACTTAGTAGTCAGGAGTTTGGACCAAGATTTAATGTGACAACTTTCACTCATGTCCCCTCTTCCCGGCATCCTCAACCCCTTTTATTTTTTTTAATTTTTTTTTTAAATATAAACATCCATGATGAGAATCACTGATCCGCTACCTCCTGCACACCCCCTTTGGGGATCAAGCCAGCAACCCACATATGTGCCCTGACTGAGAATCAAACCTTGGCCACCTGGCTCATGGGTCGAAGCTCAAACACTGAGCCACACTGGCTGGGCATTCCCCACTTTTAATCCCCAGCCCTCCTCTCCCCTGAACTCCCTTCTCAAGGCAAAGACATAAGAGAGGAGTTATTTTTTCAACATTTATTGACAGGCGGCGTTGTTCGTTAGCAGGCTCCTGTTCCATGTTCACTTCATTGAGATGATGCCATGTTCAAGGTGTAGCAAGAGGGTGTTGTAGCTGGTAAAACTCAGGCAGAGCGTGTGGACTTGCTAGCTTGTGCCTTCAGCTTCTTAAGGCATCTTATCTTCTTCTACACCTGTAGCGGCGGCAGCATGCTAGGAAGCAAAACGGGGAGAGAGGACATTTTAGTGTGGCAGAACCCCCAGTTCTGCCCAGCTCTTTGTGGCTTCTGTACCCAGATAGGGACCCCTTTTACCTCTTCTCCTCCTCCTCCTCCGACAGCAGCGCCTCCTTCGCCTATGACATCTTCTTCTCCGGCGGCGGCACCTGCTCCGGCTGCGGCAGCATCTGTATCTGGCCATGGTGCTGGGTGGAACTGGCCTAGATGTTCAGAGCAGGGAAACCACCTTGGCTGAGCCAGCCAACCTGTGAGCAGGTGGAACTTGGTGGGCTGTGAACCAGGGGCTGGTCCTGTGCCTCTTATAGACGCTGGGGATGGGCCTGGGCATTGTGAGGTCGCAGAGGCCTGCACCTCGGACCCTGGCATGTCCATATATGGGCATGTGCGAGGCCCTTGGGGAGGACAGGGTGGGGCCGCCTGGCTCACCAGCCACTGATAATCACCTATTCAGTCAATTCACAAAGTATTATTGAGCACCTTACTATGTGTCAGATTCTGGGCGAGATGTCAACATACAGTGATAAATAAGGCAGACATGTCCCTGCCTGATACACTTTCTGACTACAAGAAACACAAATGAAATAGCCTCGTAGAATAAATATAGTTGTGAGAAAAGCTGACAAGAGAAACTTCAGATTTTCATGGGGGCATGTGTTGGGGGGACTTGAGGCCCTAGGAGAGCTGCTTCATGAAGTGCTGGTGAAGTGAATTCCTAAAGGACCAGTTGGAGTTGGAGCAGAGAAAAGCCTCTGGGAGAAGGAAACAGCTGGTGCGAAGTTCTGAGGCAGCGTGGGGTGTGTGATTCCAGTTATATGAAGTGTCCCAAAGGGAAATCCGTAGACAAGTCAGTTAGTGGTTGTGGGAAAAGGGGGCTGGGGACTGACTGCTTAGTGGGTACAGGTTTCCTTCTGGGATGATGAAAATGTTTTGGAACTAGAGAAAGGTGATGGTCACACAACATTATGCGTGTACTAACTGCTGCCGAATTGTTCACTGTGGCCTGATTCTGTGTTACCTGAATTTTACCTCCATTAAAAAGTTCTGAGGCTGAAAGGTGCATGGCAGCTATAAGGAGTCCAAGGGGGCATCACAGGGTGGCCAGAGAAGAGGGCAAGATGAGGCCTGAAACTCTGACCTTCCTATGATTGTTCCCGCTTCCCCCAGGAATTTTAGGGACTCAGAAGGTATTAGATTTGGTTAGTTTTATTTTTTTTCTTGTGTTTTTTCATTTTTAAAATTATTTCTTTTTATTGAATTCATCAGGATGACATTGTAGATGTGGTTACTTTTTTTTTTTTTTTTAATATATTTTATTGATTTTTACACAGAGAGGAATTGAGAGGGATAGAGAGTTAGAAACGTCGATGAGAAAGATACATTGACCAGCTGCCTCTTGCACACCCCCCACTGGGGATGTGCCCACAACCAAGGTATGTGCCCTTGACCGGAATCGAACCTGGGACCTTTCAGTCCGCAGGCTGATGCTCTATTCACTGAGCCAAACCGGTATCGGCTAGATGTGGTTACTTTTAACAGCAAGCCAAAAGAAGTGATTTTTGGATAGAAGTTTTACATTTCACCTCAGCAGTCAGAGGAGGCTTGGGCAGTCAGTGTTCTAGTTTGGGCGTCCACACCGGAGTGCTTAGGGATGATGGGCATTGTGACTGCCCGGTGCGCTCAAGTGATTCAGAAGAGGAGGAGGAGCAGTGGGTCCAGATCTACGCAGAGAGAGGGGGAGAGGGTGGCAGAGTAAATGGAACCGAATGTTAACTGACCAGTCTGCGTGAAGGGGATTACTTTGAATAGTTCTTGCAACTTTTCTGTCACTTTGACATTATTTCAAAATAAATCATTAAACTAAAAACAAACGAAAGGAAAAGGAGAGAGGCCTTCCAGGGCTGGTGTGGCGGGTCCTTTTATCTTTCATCTCTGCCTTTAGCAAACTCTTTCTACCCTCGATTGTCCCACAGTCCAAAACCAGGGCTCTGTGGGTGGTTTTGCGGTTGGTGTACTGCTCGGAGCTCTCAGCCTAGGGATGGGTGGTTCAGAAATGCAGGCCTAGCTCCCAGAGGCACGTGTCTGTCCACAGGAAATGTCTCTTCTCCCTTTGAATGCTCACATGTAAGTTTTTTTCTAACTGGAACAAAAGCACACTAAAGGCTAGTCTTGGAAATGCACCCATATTTACTGTGGGAGGAAGTAGGAAGGAAGAAGAGGAGGGCGTAAAAGGTGTCATTACCCTATAAAGTGTTTCCCAGACACCCCACTTGGCAGCTTCACCATCTGACCGTTTGCCTTACTGTGGCAACAACTGGCCCTCAGAATAAAGCTGGGGCTCTTAGGAAGGAGAAAGGGGTCAGTGGATAGTTAGATCATTTGCACTCTTTGTCCCAGAGCGAGGTGCAGCCAGAAACTTCCAGAACTTACCACCACCCCCACAACAAGGTAGGAAAACCATGGATTTGAAGCTAAAGTCCACTGAGTTACTAAGAGGGCTGCACCGGTCACATAGTAGGTTAGCAACACATTTTCTTTGTTGATTCCTGTCTAGATTGACTATAAATCATCACCCCAGATCGTATAACACTTAGCACTTTTTAATATATTTTATTGATTTTTTTTTACAGAGAGGAAGGGAGAGAGATAGAGAATTAGAAACATCGATGAGAGAG